TTATGGATCCAATATTTGGTGGGACATACCACCACTGTTCCAAGACATTCAGAAAAAGTATCACAAAATAATAGAAGTTTAAAACAGAAAGAATATTAGAAGTTTAGTCTATCTTTCAGAAGAAATTGAGTGCCATAAAAAAGCAATACATTCTAGATCACACAGCTATTTAGTTTTAGAGCTAGAATTAGAATCCAAGACACAATTTATACCAGACTTTAAAACGTACCTCCCATTTTTAGAAACAAAAATGTGTAACTTTTTCTCTTGGGTTCATTCTTTATTTTCAATTGGAACTTCCTCTATTTTTTTTTATAACCTAGGGAAATATATAGACTCTGTTGTGTAACACACAAATAATTAATCACCTAGAATGACTATGAAAGTTAAATATCCGTAATATGTGGATGTTATATTTAACAGTCACATACTACACAAAATTTGAGGTACTAATATGATTTAGTTAAAATTTTTCCACATCAAAAATAAAATTATCTTAGAATGTCAAATATAAAAAATAAATATACTGAAAGTTGCTTCTATTATTTTTAGCTACAGTAAAAATTTCTCTTAAGTAATTCAAGAGGATAAGAAAACTAGTTTTCCAAGTCTTTATTAACCCACCTTGGAGTTCAGCTTCTGGTGGGCTGCCAATTCCATCATTCCACAAGATGGCAGTGTCATACACAAAAGTTAGACGAAGCTCTGACTTCAAGTCAAAATGTTGCCAACCTCCTACTCCAACGGGAGAATGGAACACGTAGGAAACATACAGAGGGACTCGAAGAGTCACATATGACTGCACTAGGTTTAGGACCTAAAACAATGAAATTATATCTATCAACACGATTTAGCATTAAAATGAGCCTAATTTTGTACAAGTCATTTTCTTCTTTCTCTCATGAAGATTTTGAGTAATCATTGAGGAAAAGATACAACAGCATTTACAACACTTAATTTTGGAGCAATTAAATAGTTGCTATACTACCTTCCTTTGCGACAAAAGATATGTAGCAGAAATCTTTAAGATAAATAGCATTATTTTAAGCATAGTATACTTACACAGTCCTTTTATTTTTATAGCAGCTTTATTAAGATACAGTTCATATACCATATAATTTACCTATTTAAAGTGGACAAATCAGTGTTATCTAATACAACCAGGGAGCTGTGTAACTTTCATCACATTCAATTTTAGGACATTTTCATCACCTCCAAAAGGAATCTCATAGTCATTAGCAGTTACTTCCTTAATCCTACACTCTTGCCCCCGAGACAATGGCAACTGTTAGCTTACTTTGTCTTTACGTATTTGCTTATTATGGACATTTCATATAAATGGAATTATATAATAGGTGGTTATCTGAGACACCTTCTTTCATACTATTTTTTAAAATTTATTTATTTTTTTATGGTGACATTAGTTAATGAAATCCAATAAGTTTCAGCTGTCCACTTTAACAATAAGGCATATATATATTTACTCTGTGTGTTCACCTCCCATAGTTAGATTTCTTTCTGTCACCACATATTTGACCCCCTTGACCCCATCTACCTCCCTCCTTTTCCCTCACCTCTGCCCTCTAGTAACTAGTCCACGTCCATGAGTCTCTGTTTGTTTGTCCTGTTCATTTGTTGCTTTTAGGTTTATATTCCACATATAATTAATATCATGTGATTTTCACCTTTTTCTGTCTGGCTTATTTCGCTTAGAATGATTATTTCGAGGTCCATTCATGTTGTCACAAATGGCAGTATTTCATGTCTTCTTATGGTTGAGTAATATTCCATTGTATATATGCACCACAGCTTCTTTAGCCAATCATCTATCGTAGGACACTTCGGTTGCTTCCATGTCCTGGCCACTGTGAATAATGCTACTATGAACATCGGTGTGTAAACATCTTTTTGGATATGAGTTTTCAAGTTGAGTAAGTGCTTTTGAGGTAGCCTTTCTCCAGGCATGGAAGTTTCATGCTAACAAGATCACCACAGAAAAGCTGCTCTTAAACAAGACAGATTTTACAGTCCTTTTTTAAGCTCAGTATGTGAAAACAATTACTGAGCTGCCCTAAAAGCTGATGTTTTGATGTCAAATTATGCAGATCTTTCAGATTAGGGTCCAGGTGAGAGGTGCAGGCTGCTCTACCCTGCACATCCAGATTTATCTGGTACCTTGTGTTCAATTCTGAGGGCTAATGACAGGGCATGGAAAATGAAGGAGATGGAAAATGAAGGAGAATGCAACATGTGTGTGCCTTAGTCCTGGTACAGAAGCCTCCAATCAGTGTGTGTGGAAATGACTGGAAAAGGCCCAGAGTGGCTGGAGGTGGGCAATCTCATCATCTGAGGGTTGAAGAAACTGTGGATCCTGAGCTTGCAGGTACAAAGGGGGAACGTGAAAACACCCCAGTGGACATCCAGCCCTGCCCCACACCCACGGGCCTAAATTCCCCATTCACTGCTTGCTTCCTCCACTCTCCTCTTTGGAAACACTAGTGCTTCCCTTAATGAAGAAGTTACACCTTCATCCTGGGCTCTTCTACCAGCTGCTTTGTTCCGGAGGAGACAGTGGAATAACCCTGAGATCATCACAAATTTTCTAAGCCACTTGTACAAAAAGAGAAGGAATAAGTCAATGACTGCTTGCTGGGGTATCAGAGAATCAGACAGACCCAGGAGCTACTGTTGCAGCCCCAAGGTCAACAGCACAAGGATCAGACACAGGTGCCTCTACCCCACAGGAGGTGAGGACCTGAGGGGAGAGGCAATTCATTTTTGCTATGCCTTCTTCTAGTTGTCAAATTCCTTCTCTGTTGGTTCTTAAAGAGGGCTACACATAGAACCAGGCCTGACTCTGTTTTGCCAATCACATGTGGATTGGCCACCACTCCCTCTTGTCCCTACCTTACACCAGTCACCACTGTTTCCCCTGTCTTCATTGCTAGCATCTCCTAGACAGAGATATTCCCTTTAGTTTCTCCCCAGTGTGGAAGTCTTGGCACACACTTCGGTGAACAGGTGAGATGGGAGTTAGGGTCATGGGATGAGCTAAAGCAGGAGAACCCCTAGAATGACTGCTTGGGGACCATCGGGGATGAAGGTACACTCTCCAATGGCTCAGGGTTTGGTGATATTTTACCAGCAATGGCATGGTTGTGGGGACCTCCCTGCAGGCCTGGGAACACAGCAGAGTTGATGAGTGACTCCAGGTTATACAGCATCTCTTTGCCGGTTTTGGGATCCACGCTGCACACTCCTGGCCAAAGAAAAACATCAGAATGGGAACAAGGGATTGTCTGTCCCCCGTTTTCTCCCTGTCTGGACTCAAACCCAGACTGGCTATGGGGGTGCTAAGCACAAGCCTGGCCTCTACTCCTGGAGGCAAGACCTGGTATGAAATGCTGTGAGGCAGAGATGGTGGTTGCTTCCAGGGCGGGCAGACTGCCCTTTCACGGATGAAAATTTCCCTCCACTGAGAATGTAACAAAGAATATGCCTCGGGCATATTTCCTCAAAGAAGTGTCAGAGAGCAGTCTTCCAAGATGACTACTTTGAGGGAGACATGACTCATGTGGCTAGAAATAGAGAATAAAGTACCTTTTGGAGAAAAAGTTAGTAGTAATAATAACTACTATCTCTAAAGAACTGCTCTAAGGGCTTTACCTAAATTAACTCTCACAGTCTAAAGGGACAGCTGGGTCAAACAAATCACACCAACATACAGTGGGAAAAACAAACATCTTCCAGGTAAGTGGGAATGGCTACCTGCCTCAGAAACCTCAACACAACTAAAGAAGGACCTCAGAAGAGCCTGGAGGCTTCGAGTGGGCATATGGGTGTGTCCATCCTGGCCAGAGGCTGGGTGAGAAGCCCCTGATTCGGAGGTAAAGAGAAATCCAGTCACCAGAAGGCTGGTTTCTCTGCTGATGCCAGGTTCATGCACCAGGTCCCACTGCAGGCTGAATAATAGCCTGATTACTACTCTGGCTTTCTCAGGTATGCAAATCCCAAAATAAGGGGAGTGCCTACATATAGGCTGTAAGCATATCCACTACTGGAAAGAGAAATTCCTTACTAAAATGACAAAACGTACTAGAATTTATACATCAGTATCTTATGGTTTGATTACTGTGAGTCTTTCTCTAGGAGAAACATGCTAGACTACAGTAAGTTCATCAAAATAATGCTGTACCACGAGGCCTCCAGGTAGTCTCTGGTGAGCCATCCTTTCACTCCAACACCTGCCTCATGAGGAGAATTAGTTGAGCCAAAGGGTACTGGCACCTAGCATAATAACCTTCTCCCTTTCCCAGGACCTGGATAACTATGCTCAGGGCTTCTTTCTAGATCTCTTCTATAAAGTCATTGTCCCCTCCTAAGTAGCTCTTTAAGGGATCTTAATATCTTCAAGGGATCCCAGGTCAGAGTTTTCCCCAGCTTCCTAAAAAGGATCACCCGGCACCCTGCCTGGACCCCATGCGCAAGAGCACACCTTTCCTGTAGAAGATCATGCCGGCTCGGCAGCCTCTCAGAGTTTTGTGGGTGGTAGTAGTCACCACGTGGCAGTGTTCAAAGGGGGAGGGCACCACACCGGCCGCCACCAGCCCGCTGATGTGCGCCATGTCCGCCATGAGATATGCCCCATTGTCATCGGCAATCTTCCGCAATCGAGCGTAGTCTAGGTTTCGGGAGTAGCAGCTGGTTCCTAAGATGGCAAAGGCAACACCATAGAGTCAAAGATATTCATGGCCAGCTGAGAGTCAGCTGTAAAGTGGCCTCTGGATATGCATATTTGAAAGCTTGGAGATTTCTCCCTCTAAAATCTGAGGACAGAAATGAAAAACATTCTCAAAAAACATCTTTGTGCCGAAGGTAATCACTCTGGTTTCTGCCTCTTCAATGTCATGGTGGTTGGGGTGGCCCTCAGCTATTATTACCACCCCCAATTAGTAAAGGATTAATATTCCTAGATGCTTCTCAGAACAGCCTCAGATCTTATTCTACCTAGTACGAATGGTGGCAAACACAGACATTTGTCCTGAAAGAATATACTTAGACCAAAGCAGCTCAGCTATCCAAGGCAGAAACTAGCTGTGAGCAAGGACAATGCAGGGAACGTCAATACATCTTCACTCTGTAAGAGGCCTGGAATCTGCTAATACAGTGCTTTCTACCCAACTCATCACCTGCGATAATCAGCTTCGGGTGGAAGAGGCGGGCATTTTCCTCCAGTTGGTCATAGTTGATGTAGCCAGTGTCTGGGTTCACCTGTGGAATGTCATGGAGACAGCAGGCTCAGGCTGCCCCCTCCAGCCTACCCTCCCACCCGAACTTGAGCCAGCTGTCAAGGATAAGATGACTTCTTCTACCTTCCCAAAGCTATTTGCTTCACTCCACCATGAAAACAGAAAAGATGTCCTAGGCCAGGACTTGAGGGCGAGGTGGTGTATCAGAGTATTTGGCCTGCACAAGTGGTATAGATAACCAAATATCACTCAATGACTCACGATGCCCTCAGGGGTACCGGGGTGGGGGGGAGTGAGCCCCTGCTCCTAGGGCTGTCCCGGGATGAGAAGAAATCAAAAGGCCACTGCAGAATTAAATAGGAGTGACAGACATGCACCATACCATGCAGGTACTAACATACAGTTACCTTTAGGAATGAGACAAAGTGCCTGCCAATACCACTTTCTACTCCAAGTACAATGAGGCCAGAAAAAGAAATAAAAGCATAAGGATTAGAAAACATAAAAAAGCAGACATTACTCAGAGACATCATGATTGTATATCTAGAAAATCCAAGACTCTAGAGGCAAGCCATTAAAATTAGCAACTGAATTTAGCAAGATCATTGGATGTAAGGCCAAAAACCCGAAATCAATTATATTTGTATATTTAAACAGCAAAAAATAGAAAATGAAATTTTAATAATTATTAGTTTCAAAGCCATAAAATCTCTAACAAAATATGTATAAGACCTACACAAAACATTATTGAGAGAAATTTAAAAACACTTAAAAAGTTACACTAAGGCAGTGTGTGCTTGTGGAAGGACAAGCTGAAATAGAACTCCTTGTGATAGATGGCCATCTGATCAATGACAGCAGTGGGTGGCACTTCAGAGAAACTATGGTCTTCCAATAAAGGGTATGGGGTCAACTGGATATCTACATGAAAAAATACATTATCTGGATGCCTACCTCACCCACACAAATCAGTTCCAGACAGATTGTTGTCTGGAACAATGTGAAACGTAAAACAACTTGTTTTCTTTTTTGGCTATACATTTTTTAGTAAGTTTAGTTTATTAAAGTTGTGTTAAAACATTTCTGCTAAGGGGAAGTAAAAATAATTAAATGTGATTACTGCAGGGGTGTGGGACATGGGAGCCCTCTAGGGAGGAAGTGGTGAGA